TGTACGTACACACCGCCATATGGCCCAGGAGCCTGGAGCAGACCCGAGGGGTCGTTATTGGGGACCGATAGAGCCCTGAGATCAGTTCCATTATGGAGAGAAACCTGCTTTTGGGCAGGAACATCCTGGCCACCCTCGAATTGAGGAGGGCCGCCACGAACTCCATGTGTTGCGAGGGAGTTAGGGACAACTTCTTGATATTTATGAGGAGTCCTAACCTTAGGAAGAGGGCTCTTGTGAGTGCCACGTGAGCTTCTACTTGCCCGTACGAGCGACCTCGGATTAACCAGTCGTCGAGATACGGGAAGACATGCACCCCTTGTTTGCGAAGATATGCAACCACTGCCATGCATTTCGTGAAGACCCTCGGTGCCGTACATAAACCAAAAGGGAGCACCGTAAGCTGAAAATGGTGTTGGCCCACCATAAACCTGAGGAACCTCCTGTGGCTGGGTCTGATTGCCACGTGGAAGTACGCGTCCCTGAGGTCGAGAGTCATGTACCAGTCTCCTAATTGCAGCACTGGGATGACCGATGCCAGGGTCACCATTCTGAATTTGTGTTTTACTACTGCCCTGTTTAGGTCTCAAAGGTCTAATATGGGACGGACCCCCCCCTTTGGTTTGGGGACAACAAAATAACAGGAATAAAAACCCCTTCCTCGCAGCTGAGGAGGAACCTCCTCTATCGCTCCTTTTTCGAGGAGCGTAGACACCTCCTGGTACAGGATGCGTTCGTGAGGGGTGTCCCTTACGAAGGGCACAGAAGGGGGTTTTGAGGGCGGTGGGCCTAGAAACGGGATAGAATACCCTCCCTTTACTATGTTGAGAACCCAGGGATCCGACATTATAATGGCCCATGCATGGGCAAAAAGGGGCCCAAGCATGGGCAAAAAGGGATAGCCTGGCCCCAAATAGGGGGCCGGGGCAGGAGATTGGTACGGGACTCTCGAACGAGGCGTCAAAACTGAGGCTTGCCCTGATGGGAAGAACCGTGAGGACCTCCTTGCTGGGTATCGGTCCTGGGGCAACGACGTCTACCCCTAGCCACCTGAGGGTGCGCGGCCACCCCGGAACCTCCACCGGAGGCCCGGGGACGGTGCCTCCAGTAATCCCCACGGGGGACCTGGGGCTGTGCCCTTCCCTGCTGCCTATAGGGCAGCTGTCGCCGCTGCGGAGCTGGCGTGTGTATGCCCAATGACTTCAGAGTGGACCTAGTGTCCTTCAGAGTATGGAGCCTAGAGTCAGTGTGCTCCGAGAACAAAGCTTTGCCCTCGAAAGGCAAGTCCTGAATAGTATGCTGTACGTCCGGGGCAATTCCCGAGACATGGAGCCATGCCCTCTGACGCATAACGACACCGGTCGCCATCGTGCGGACCGCTGAGTCCACCGTGTCCAGAGCCACCAGGAGCGTGGTTCACGAGATGACCTTTCCTTCCGAGGTAACCGCCATGAACTCCTGACGGTCCTCCACAGGGAGTCTGTCTCGGAAGTTCTCAACGGCCTGCCAGGTGTTAAAAGCATACCTGCTCAGCATCGCCTGCTGATTAGCGATGCGGAGCTGTAACGCCCCTGTGCCGTAAACCTTACGGCCCAATAGATCCATCCTCTTAGGCTTCCTAGCCTTTGGAGAGGGCCCTGGCTGGGGAAGCCTTTCCTTTTGGGCCGTGGCCTGCACAACCAAGGACCCAGGGGTGGGTTGTGAGTACAGGTGGTCATGCCCTGAGTTTGGGACGTAGTAGCACCTCTCGGCCCCTTTTAAGGTAGGGGTCAAGGTTGCCGGTGTTTGCCACAAGGCACTGGTTGTCTTCAATACTGTTTTGTTAAGTGGCAAGGCTAGTCGCACTGGCACGTCGTCCGTGAGTATATCCACCGTTGGATCTGTGTCCTCAATAACAGGTTCCACCGGCACAGCCAAGTTGGCAGCCATACGGCGGAGGAGGTCTTGGTGCGTGCGGGCATCCATTGACGGCAGACTTGGTGCAGGGTCTGCCAGTGCCTCGTCCGGTGATGATGACGATGAGGACTCCTGAGCTAGCACAGGAACCGTTGTCGTCAGCTGCGGTGCCGGCTGGGCAGCTTGCGCTTCCGATGGGACCACCTCCGGTGCTGACGGTTGCGGTGCCGCTGGATCGAGTTGGGGTGCCCAGAGAGGGGAGGGAGAGGCTCGAGACAGGCACGCAGACGGACGGGAACAGTGCCCTGACGACCCCGACCCCAAAGAAGGGGGCATCTGACCCTGGCACTGGTGGTAGGCCCAAGGGGTCCAGAAAGGCCACTGTGGGTGAGGAGGCCACGTTTGTTGAGTGTGGTCCCCCCTATGTCTGGACCTCGATCTATGGGTCGAGGATGCCCTCGAGGAGCCCGAATGGAAGGAGGAAGCATCCGAGTCCGAGGAGTAATTGGACTCCAGCCAGGGTGGAGCTGATGAAGATAACGGGGCAAACCTTGCCATCAATTCGGGCTTGCCCACATGAGTGCGCCATGGCCGCACTACGTTTGGGGCCGGTGGACCCATGGCTTGTGCCGGAAGACCCACTGACAGTTGCGGCACCGGAGGATCCAGACCCAGTGCCGAATGATTGACGGCCCCCAGTTGCGGCACCGGGGTGCCCAGGCCCGGTGCCGGTTGAGTCGCCAGCAGTTGTGGTACTGGGGTGCCCAGGTCCGGTGCCGGCTGAGCTGCCAGCAGCTGGGGGCGCCGCGGGGCCAGGCCCGGTGCCGGTTGAGTTGCCAGCAGCTGTGGCACCGAGGTGCTCAGGCTCAGTGCCGGTTGAAACGGTGCCCAAGGTTGCGGCACCGGGGTGCCCAGGCCCGGTGCCTGGTGAGACCACTGGGTCAATGCCGGTGCAGATGAAGGCACAGAAACGGACGCTGGCCCCTGGGTGACCTCCATGGAGGAGAGAGATGTCTGAGTGGACGCCACATGGCTACTCGGATACTGCACCAGCATCGCCATGCGGGAGGTGCTCAGGCCCGGTGCCAGTTGAGTTGTGTCCGGCGGTTGCGGCACCGGGGTACCCAAGCCCGGTGCCTGGCAAGACCACTGGGTCAATGCCAGTGCTGATGACGGCACGGAGACGGATGCTGGCTCCTGGGCGATCTCCATGGAGGAGAGAGATGTCTGAGTGGAAGCCACATGGCTGCTCAGATACGGCACCGATACCGCCATGCGGGGAGGTGGCAAGGAGCTCAGCTGCATCTCAGGACGGGCATGGCTGGAAATTCCCAAGGAGTGATGACTCAGCGACAATGGGAGAGCCGAGGCAGCAATCGTACTGACCCCACATGGGGTGGTCCCGACGCATAAGCCACTTTAGCATGCCGATCTGGGCCATGCTGTGGCGAGGCCGCAGCCAGCCGAGCCTCCGACAATAGTGACCTCGACCCTTCCGAGTCCACCGAGGATGGAGGAGAGGTCGTGAGGCTGATACGGTCCTGCGGCGCCTCAAACGTATCTGGCGTGGACGGGCGGTGCAGAGGAAGGCGACCAGGACTACCTACGCCTCCTCGGTGTCGACGGTGCAGAGGTGACGATACGCGCACCGGAGAGCTTATGGTGCGGTGCCCTGCCGAAGTTGTCTTCTTCTAAGGGGACCTTCCCCGGGATTTCTTCACTCTCTTAGCTGGGGGAGAGTGTGATCGGTGCCGAGATGTCGACGCCATCGCGCGGTGCCGATGAGGGATGCCCCGCGTAGAGGCCGGTGCGCTGCGCACCGCAGGCTGATCCAGCGGCACCGGCTGAAGCGCTGTCTCCATGAGGAGAAGTTTCAAGCGGGAAACCCTTTCTTTTCTGGTACGGGGCTTGAAGGACTTACAGATTTTACAGGCAATAGCCAGATGAGCCTCACCCAGCTGTTGTGTGGGTCGCCCCTGGGCATAAACTTCCCACAGTCAGCGCACGCCTTAAAGCCTTGCGGCCCTGGCATTCCTTACCCGCAAGGGGGAAGGAACAAAGCAACTAACCTAACTATCTAACTGTGAAAACTATTTACAACGAATGTGAGAACGGGAACCATTAACTAACTAAATAGCTAGGAAATATGGAGACGCTCCAACGATCGTCGCTGCGGTAAGAAGGAACTAAGGTGGGGCAGCGCCGGCAGGGGTACTTATGCCCCGCCATGGCGGCGCCACTCCAGAGGGCGCCCTGCCGGCGCTACGGGTACCGCTAGGGAAAACGCTCCGGAAAACGCGGTGCACACGGTGCACACACCTACTTCGAATGGACATGAGCAACCACTTGAAGAAGAATAATCATTTATATCTATGCAAAATTTGTATAACAGTCTCTCTCTCTCTCTCTCTCTCTCTCTCTGAGCTGATGGCATTTTACATCCCCCTTTTGCACAGGCTTAAGTGAATGTGCAAGGTAAAAGATAAGGGTACAAGCGACAAGTTGATTAACCAATAAGCAGGAGCTTATTGGTTAGCATTATCCACTAGTTGCATCCCCCCATTTCCTCTGCTGCAGCTCTGCAATATTAAGAGACAGGGGAGTCAGCACATGAAGATGTTGTCTCAGCCCCGGTCCCAGGACTCCCCAATGTCTCTCTGAATGATGACTAATGAGAGTCCCAGGACTAGGGATTGAGCAGGCATCGTGCATCTGCTGCCTGGTTCCTTGTAATGCAGAGCAGCAGTGGGGGAAGTTATGCTGCAACCTGGCATGAGCCAGACTAAGCGCTATAACTGCTGATCCTTATCGACTACTCGACTAGGAAAGTAACCACATTTTAACATCCTGAGCAAAAGACAGTAGGAAATCAGACTTAAAGTAGGACCTCACATGACAGCATGACGACAGCAATTTAACCAACTCAGTAAGATTGATCAAATAAATTATTAGTATGAAAAGATTATTGCCCACAGAACAACTGAACTAAACTTCTTATCTTTTCATGCTGATATTCACTTTGTCTTAAAGGTTTTAAGTTGCCAAAAAAAAAAAGCATAGGTATAGAGTTATAATAAGTATTGATAAAGACAAATTTAACATACCATTTTCTTTTAAAAATCTAAGTGCATCTGAATATCCTTGTTCACAGATCTCTCCTAGTACCTGCAAACACACAGGGTATACTATGTCAATCAGCTATCAGTAGAAAGGTTCAAAATGAAAACCACCAGTTTACAGAACAAATGGCTGCTAAATTCACTTATACTAGTCATATAAGGAAGATAATTCCCATAACCTTACAAGTGTCAAACTATAATAAAGTTTTCAAGTGATGAATTTACATCTGCTGTCATAATACCTAAATGAAAACCTTTTTTAACTTGTAAACATATGGCATTCATCAAAATTACTGAACTTATAACTGTGCTTTTCCAATTGTACTAGAGCATCAAATTAGTTTGTAGGAACTCTCTTCCTTACTGTCTCCCCAAATATGTTTTTTTTATCAGACACACAAATAAACAGATCACCCCCTTAACATCCTCCCCTTTGCCATTTCTGAAAACTAGGGAGAGCCAGCTGTGCAAATCTCCCAGGAAGGATGAATTTCATGATTAATCTCAAACTTGGGTCTCCCAGATAACCGGTGTTACCAGCTGAACCACCAGGCCACCTAGAAATGCACATTTTCAAAGTCCTAGACAAACAAACAAACAAAAAAACAGAATATTTAAAGCCCACATAAACAGAAAAGTGTAAGAATAAAGTACAAAGAAAATTATCACTTACAAGAGTGTGTTTGCTCACAACTAGCCAGAAGAAAAATAAATCTGCTTTTAAAGCATCCAAAGTTTTCAGGTATTTGGTTATTTAAAACAATGTATTTTTTCCTAGTATCTCCCATGACCAGTCACCTTCAGCAGTCTCCATTCAGAAAGAATTTCCCCTCAAGTTCAGTGGTGATCAATAATTACTTTTGAGATGTTCTGACTGCATCATAGATGCACCAATAGATTTTTGAAAACCTTCAGCTTTAATTGTACCACTTTCAAAGCCTGTGCTGGTTGGCGGCTGGGCATGAACAGGGCTGCAGCTTTGCACACTACTTTAGACTTGTATACACTGCTGCTTATAGAGTAACTTGCAGTGCTAGAAAGGTAAACACAGGAACTCAAAAGCAAAATATTTTAGTCTTAGAAAGCAAAACTAACATAAAAAGAATTAAGTATTCATAGAAGTGATGAAAGAAAAGCAGCAATACCAGATGTCATAAGAAAAGTTTATCTGGCTAGATATTAAACTAAGATCCTGGTCACTCAAATTGCTTCTGCAAAAACTTTGG